CTTTATAATTTTGAAAAAGAAAGTATTTTTAATAAAGTTGAATAATTCATTTTATGGTTTTCATACATTAAAAAAAACACCTTCAGTTAGATTTCTGTTTATGGAGAAATTATATTTATTTCTTTTTTATATTATTAGCACCTTCCTCTCAGTTTTTTTATCTTCCTTTATTCACTTTATGGTGCTATATTAAAGAAAGAAAAATGTTAAATTTGTACCTAGAGTTATAATAACATAATCATAAAACTATAACATTAATATAGAATTAGATTTTATTATTGAATAATTCCCAATAAATATTGTTATAATCGCTACATAAATACTGTTTTTTTTTCTAATTTTGCACCACAAATTACAAAGGTAATGCGTTACCTGAGCCATCTATAACTGAACTATTCAACCGCGTAGATTTTTTTCTTCTAATTTCTGTTAAACTATCAATAAAAACTGGCACTTTTATTGAAGCATTCGATTGTTTTACCATAAAGCTGTAGTTACGGATAATAATCGCGAGGAATGTCGGGGTGCGATGACTAGTGTGAATGCGTTTGCGAAACTTCCATTTGCGCTTGGTAATGATAAAAGAACTGTACAATTATCGTATTAAATGAACGTTTTATAAAGCAACACGTACAGCAATTAAACTATGTTTCATCGATAAATTTAATATAATTGTCCAAGCCATTTATATGTTACACACAAATGAGTTGTTTAGTTTGCAGTTCAGTCTGATGTCTAAATCCAAGACCGCTACTTCTAAGGCAAATGCATGTTGACACCCAAAAATCAAATAAATATTAAATAATATCCAAATTCCAAATAGCTTAAAAACGTTTGTGTTCTAAAAATCTGAAAGAACGAAGTTTACAATCAACCAAGCCACAGAGGAAATGGAGACAATCATTTTCTAAAACATATCAGTAAGTAAATTCGGAACAGCAGAATTAACGTGTGACCTACTCGCTTATTTCGGTCTTTTGACACAGTTCGTAATTTAAGACATTATTAAGATACGATTCGCTATATGACTTATATGTAAAATTTCAGTCGGTTATATTCAAATTGATGCAATTGTAGCAATCCTGGGATATCTAATTCTAATTCTGGTAGCATAAATCATGCTCTTGGCATTTGTTCCATTGTAACAGAGTATACATTGTACATACGTGCCCTGAAGGCGAATTAAATAAAAAAAGCTATCTTTCACCTACCAGTATAAAGCGTAACAATCAAATTTTCACCCCCGTCACCGGTATTCATTAAAGAATTGTTCGGTTCCACTTTAGGAAGTTAATCATTAGCCGGTGGTATCGGCCGGCGATCTCGGAGTGTCATCGTTCGTTACTAATCAGTTGTTACACGGTGCGGTTCACTTATTACCGTGCTGGTATTATTAGTATTGCCGAAGGTGCACCAACGGTCACCGCACACCTTGCGCACACCTTGCGTCGCGCCTACAACCAAGATGCACCAAGATATCGAATGTGACGAGATCTAGAACGACGCAACTCTCACAAAAGAAACAGACCAAAATATACTTTATTCATTACGGAATATAAATTCATTTTAAATTATAACGATTAGTAGGGTTATAAACGCGGAACCCCATCTTTAAGGTTATTTAGCTAAGTGTAGGTTTTTTAAAGCGTTTTGTATTAGCTGACACGGTTGTCTCGGGACGGTCGTTTTCGTCTATCCGTTGAGATCTCACTCGATAGCGCCGGTGAAAATGAAAGTGGTAAATTAACTATTTGACGGGTGACATGTTGGTTTTTGTGATGACCGATTTGATTAATGATGGCAGACAGGCGTGTCTTGTGCGCTGATCGATAATATTCCGTTGCGAATTGATTGTCTATTGATGGTATTAGTGAGTTTTTATAATGTAAATTAGGATAATTCAAATGGCTGACCGCAAGATTGGTGTTGCTTTGAGGTGTTGATTAATTATTAGGTATAATATGACATAGGAGCATTGCTACAAACTTTTAACGTAACCAAAAAGTACATCAATTTCTATAATAATTGTCGGCCTTTGTGTATTTGATGACGCAACATATTTAGTTGCTTACTTGTGATAAGTGAATTGAAACCATATCCTACTTATGACAACAAAAACATTTGTGTTATGTGGGATATGGTTTAAATAATAATAAAATATTTGTCTAGATTTACATAACATACATATAACCTAGAAATACATTTTCAATTACATATATGTATATACTTATTTTTTAATACTGTGCATAAAAAATATAATAATTAATCATCCAGAAATGTTTTGACATAAAAGCAAAATCATTCCTAACCTCATGGATAACTACGAGTATGTCGCACGTTGACCAAAAACAACATTGTTATGTTGTGTACAACAACCGCTAACAGCGTAAAGCTTCATATTTAATGTTAACGTTAACTTTCCTGGTATAGGAAAGTGTAAATAAATTACGAATGCAATGCCAATAACCCTCTTAGTAATGCTCATACCGTAATTTATTGAAACAAAACGAGGGGATGTATAATACGTACACCATTATATCACTACATAGTATAAAACTAAGTCGCTTTCTTCGTCCATATATCCCTCCCTATGTATGCTTAAATCTTTAAAACTACGCAACGTATTTTGATGCGGTTTTTTCTTTCATAGATAGGGTGATTCAAAAGGTAGGTTTTTATGTATAATAAAAGACCACGTGGGCGAAGCCGCTGGCGGAAAGCTAGTTTTGAATAAATGAGTATCTTTATAAGAAAATAAGATTTTTCTTAATTTTAAAAGTGGGGGAGAAATATGGACACATATACTGCTAATTACTTCTGTATAAGGCAATAGGAATAATGAAATAGAAATACGCGTTAGGTCAAATTTGTCTCTCAAAAAGTGTGTTTATCTTTTTTTCCGCGATGCGACTGAGCGTCGTTGTGGTATGATTTGGGGACTGGAGAGTTCACTGCAAAAGCGAGGATAAGCTGGCCACGATCAATTGGCTCGCTGGTTAACTTTTAAATAGAGTATTTTAAATTCGTTAACCGGCTTTGTAGTTTTTAGGATTATTTTGAAGTCTGTTAAAGGTTTATAAAAAAAAATATACATAAGAATTTCTAGTGTAAAACGGGATCTTGAATTTAAGTTCGTAACGCAACACTAATAATTCCATATGAAGATCATCATCGAAGTAAATAACTATCCCGTCTAAATTATTTTTCCAGTTATTTGTATACAGACACTGTTGTGATCAAACTTTATTTAGAGGCTATTTTGAAAATTATATTTTTAAGTAAGAAATATTCTTCTCTTGTTTTTATGTTTTTATCGTCAGTCTCTACATTACCACAGACTCACATTAACTACATTGCTCTACATTACTAAATAAAGATAAAAATAAATTATAAGAATATCACTCGTAAACTGTGCGTTATAGTTCAGTATCTAATAAACACAAAACTATCTGATCTCGTATAACATAAAGTTTAATTTTGAATTTCCACAGTTTGAAGTGATGAATAGAACTAGTATCACCTTATATGGTGGTATAGCAATTATAATTAATTATCACTTACATTGTAACATTCAAATGCGTTACACACAGATGCTTACCGAATGTCGGTTATAATTCAACACACATTATAACTTTTATTCGTATCGAAATAAGGACTATGAGAAAGTGATTTGCACAGTCTACCGTAATCAAAAAGTTTGTAAAACAACGTGTTTATAATAGTACTTATTGCTATTATGCTGTCATTCTTATACACGCAACACAGTATCGAGTAAGTTGTATGTATAAAGTTAGTGCTTTTATTCGTCTGTTTTTTTTTTCTAAAAGTAATTGTTGTTTTTAAAGTATATAAGATATATCATTCGGCTGTATAATCGCGTTTCTTGTTTTCGAGGAAAGGATCTTGACAGGCAAATGGACAACTACGTTTCTTGTTTTACAATTAAATTTCAAATTCTTAAGAATTATATAATTTAAGTGATATTGATTTTCAATTTATTGCCGTGTCAAATTGCGCATGTTTCTTAGTAATCCAGTCTGCAGTGTACGTATTTTCAGATTGTAAAAATAATGTCAAATAGTAATCCAATATGATTGATACGTGTAAGATTCAAAAGGATCTATTTGACTGTTTTTGGAGTACCAAGGGATTATTGATTCCGAAAAAAACCTTATTATCAGCACATTTTTCATAGTTTCAAATACATGCTCCTTTCGCGTGATAAGTTATTCCAGAATTCTGTATCAAAAGAGCTTGTTTAGCATAATATTTTAAATTAAATAAATTTACAGTTCTTTTGAAAATAAAGTAAAATGTGAAAAGGTCTACAATAAGACTAAGTAGGGACAGTGATCTGGTTCGATAAAGGCCCGGTCATCAGATACCCGGATAGTAAACCCGGCAATAAAAAGCCCTGGGGTGAGATGTCGGCCTCCACTCTCTTATTCTAAAAGGCGTTTCTTTTTATAAATGTTAGTTTTAGAGGTTTATGCGTCTAGAGATACTACCTTACAATGAATATCCGATCTATGCTTAAATGATACGATGATATTAAAATATATTTTTAGAAGAATTTCAATTTATTCAATGCAAGTTACAAGTCATAGACATATTATAAATAAATTTTGTACAAGTGACGCACTGTAATGGCACAAAAACACTGAAGGGCATCTATTGCCAACTTTATTTATAAATATTATTGGTTTAATTAATTATTAGTAATACATTCAGAAGCTATCTTACTTACATTCCAAATATACCATAAACTTTATCAATAAATTTATAATACATTAATTCCTTTAGTAGTATTTTTTTATTTTATTTTATCTAATCAATTTAAAACTCGATTATGATATTTATAATATTTTTTTATTTCATTCAATATTTTTTTTATTTATTTATTAAATTTATTAACTTTAAACATAATTAACACATTCATTCATCTTTACCCCCGTCATTTGTTATATCACTAATTCATATATTCTTTGTTTATGTTTCAGGTACTGTTTGTTGCTTCTCGTCAAGAAACTCTTCAATATTGTAAAAACATTTACTTATTAAATATATTTTCAACTGTGCAATAAACTTTTTTGTTTCATTTATTACCTTTAAGCTATTCGAGATATGATAATAATTTTAATGGCCATACAGTGAGGTCCTGTGGTGACTAATTTTAGTTTAGAAAACGGTAATTCTGTGTGATTATTTCTCTTTATAGCCAATTTTAACGGTGAGTACAATGTTTCATATTTTCGTGTAAATTTACAAAATTCTATGAAAATTAAGATTAGATGTAACTATGCTGATGATCAATGTAAATACAAAGTAATAACAATCTTTGAATTAGTATTTGATTGTTTATGAAACAAACGAAAAAATATTAAAATGTAAATAGTGACAACGAGACATCTAATGATGACTCTGAGTTTTCTACGAGGGATTGTTAACAAAATACCATCTTAAAAACATCGGATAGCAAAAGGAGGTACGGTAAATTAGGCGTAATAGGGTTGCCTCCGGATCCTGTGTATTTTAATAAAACACTATTAAGGAACGCACAAGACGAGGTAAATTGGCATACCTAAGCCGAACCCTTGCTGGACGGTGGGTTCCTTGAATGTGCCATAAGGTAATAAGCGAGAGCTATCGTTATGTTATTTTTGAAAAATTACTAGTAAATCTTTAATTCTGTAAAGCTGTTTAAATTATCCCCCTTTTAATAGAAATAAATATAACAGAAGTTTATATCTATTTTTACAACCTTTAGAATACAGTTATTTCGCTTTCAAAACGTCTGAGGTATTGACTTATATTTCCGGTTGGAGCAATAAATTGTAAAATGAAAATTTTGTTGTTCTGAACCCTAACTCAAATTACTTAATTTTTGATCCGTTGAAATCAAACTTAATGAATAAAAATAACATAAATCTGATCAATTATGTATAATGATGTATTTTATTTGATTACTATTATTTGTAAAAAGAATATATTCTCTGTAGTTACATAATTCTTCTCTTAAATAGTACCTGTTGATGATGTAATTATGGTTCAGATAAATAGATGACTATGATTACTTATGCTCACTTTTTCAATTAATGGAATTAATGCTCTGAATCTCATAGCTTAGACCAACATTCTCAATATAAGTCCATCGTTGTACGGAGTTCCGTCAATAATAATACCTCACGGATTATACCCGGTGGTCAGCTCCACAAATACGGATTACGGTCGTCCGGGACGGTTCGGACAGGCATTTGTGTCGCGGACACTTGATGTCGGTGCGAAGATTGCGATTGACATGTCTAGGATAGGTAAGACGTAATGAATCAGTGGATTTGTCTGGGGATTGCAAGCGATTGTCTAAAATCTTGGAAACGATGTTTGAAGAAGAATTAAGTATTTGTATAAAAATAATGTATTAGATTGTATAAGACGGGTATTAACGCGATAGATTTCGATAGTTAGATATTTCACCTACCTTTATCTCCCGACGTTTCGACCAGGTTACACCGGCCGTAGTCACGGTTTTATGCAATCTTATATAATGCAACGCGAAAGTTTAAAATGTAGGTATGTATGTTTGATAAATAATGCTCAAAAATCCACCAGTCTCACTGCTCTAACCGTTGAGCTACCCGAGATCCAACAGGACTGATTAATTATTCAAGCACTTGTTACTTTTCGCTATACGTAAGCGTATTTTCATCAATCTAAGGTTATGGATGTTCAGTCCCAACTCAGGGAACCTGGGATCGGTGGATTTTTATGCAGCTTAATTGGTGGAACATTTTCTCAGCTAGCGAAAGGTGAGTCTGAAACCCGCTAACTTTTATGCATGTATCTTTGGTAGGGGAAGAGAGGTCAAGATGGAAAGAATGGACAAAATAAAATTTGTACTATCCATTCCAAATCGCCTTTAACCTTTTTCTTTTTGGGTTTTTTGAGAGTTTTCAATTACGAGTCATAACTTATTTTTGACTAGAATATAGTTACAAATTTTCAAGAACAATTTAAATAAGCCTATTAAACTAAGTCCATTTCTATTTATTACTACACAAAGTTAGCCCTACCATCGTGCATTATTTCTCCTAAATAGCATGTGAATGCAACATTCAGCAAATATTTATTATATTATAAGTTTCCTTTTTGTATGTTTTTAACTATAAAAAAGGTCCTTATACTTAACACGCTCCGAAACCGCAGCGTAAACAGCGCATTGTCCGAGCAGCTAAGCCCACCACAAATGTCCTCAAATGAGTAAAATTAGAGACACATTAGAGGGTTTTTGTAAGGGTCCTGTGTGGCTTGGTAATTGATTTGTCTGCGGTGACCACGATTTCCGGATGTGTTTTCTTCAGTGGTGTTTGTTTTAAAGTAACGGTACTTAATATGTTTTATTTGACTACGATTTTTAAGGGCGCGTTACTTTTTAAAACATGCTTAATTAAATTGTCAACCTTTTTTTTTCCATAAGGATCTAAAATAGTCGATAAACAAACTAACACAAAAAATAAATACGAATGTTTAACAAAAATTCAGTTATAAAACCAAAGTTTTGTTTGATTACTGACTACTTTCAATAATACAATTTAAAATAATCATTTAAAATCGAAACAATAAATAAATTTTATTCACAAAGGGTCTCTTGATCAAATTTACATTTCCTCAACATTATTCTGTTAAAAGTCGTCCGCTTATACGAAAGATAAACACCGGGCTGGTACACAAATCAGCGTCTTGGCGGACGACGACGCGGGGCCAATCACGCGCCACTGCACCCTGATTGTCTGCACCGAGTAAACAGCCGACTCTAAACAATGTGCCCTCGACTGCCTGAAGACACAACCTGGAACAAATAACAGCTAAAAGTTTGATGTTGACCTAAAATATAGTGACTAAAATTAAACAATTATTCTTATACTTTATTTTGTTCAATTCTATCGTCTTAGAGTAATTTTTGTACTTTTTATTTGCTAAATAATGAGTATCGAGAAGCTACAAAATCGATTCTCTACTTTACTGTGGGCAATCATAAGATCATGCTAAGATTGAAACTAAGCAACAATTGTTCTTTTTTCAAAAGCAGCATCGACATCTGCAAACAGTCAAAGAAGTCAAATTCCCATCGTATTGAAAGTACAAACAAAACATTCCATTCAGACATCCCTATTTATTATACTTCTCACATCTGTCTTATATTCTGAAATACTGAAACTCTACCGTCTATCGAAAACTTGTTACACGAGTAGATCCCCGAATACACTAGTAGTTTCAACAAAGTTCGAGTGTCCGACAAACAACCCCGCATTCCAGTTCCGGCGACAGGGGGCATTCCTGAGACGCCAAAATTTTTGCGAGACAAATAGCATCTTGACCGAGGGACTCGCGGCCCCTCAGATGATTTATGTTGCATCGGTTCATGAATGTTCAGGACTTGCTTAAAGTCGACCGAGGGCTGAGGTTGAGCTTGACTTGTCAATTGGCTGCTGTATTGTGTTTGGAATGCAAATATGACTTCCAGAATCTATTTTTTTTTTAATTCTGTACTATATTCAAAATTATAGTGTTACTTTAATTTTTACACTATAATATTAAACAAATTTGAAACAACCAATATATATTTATAATATAAAGAACTATCTACGACGAGAATTATTTTATCTTATTTCCACAACTAATATTTGCAAGTTTTTTGAAAATATTATTTATTTATTAATACAAAAGTTAATCCGTTATAAGAGGATATTAATCAAACTTAATATAACCTTTTTTTTGTTAAGTTAAAAAATATTTTTTGTAAACTTAAATCCAGTCAATCAAGATTCATAGACTGCATTAATTAGAACGCTCTGCTAAAGCTCAACAAAAATGTCTAGTGTTAGGTAAAAATAGTAATTCTGTTATCTATGCTAATATTTAAAAATAAAGTTTGATTAATCCTCGGGAAAATTGATCCGATTATGAAAACTCATGCAGACGAAGTCGCGGGTTAGTTACAATGAATTAAGTTACATCACTTAAATTGTCCAGATGTCAAATTATCTAAAATATTACCTAAAACACTTGTAAAACTGAAATCTATGATGGATAGTATGCCATAGATTATACTATACTATTGACTTTATTCTCCAATCCGCATTGGGCCAGCGTGGAGGGTCATGGCCCACGCTTCTTAACCATCCATAAGGAAGGCCTGAGCCCCTGCAGTGGGGACGTAATAAAGGGCTGATGATGACGATGACTGACTTTTTAACTCTGGAATTTAAAATGTAGGGAATTCGATATAAAAACACTTTAAAGTAATTATTATTTCAATTTTTAAGTAGTTCAGTCAGAATTATTGAACAAGAAATCCTACCATCAAAAAGCTAGAAGCATTTACATGTAGGCATTCATTTAAGACGTAGAGAGTAATATATTTAAAGCATGAAAAAGGTTAACCGCAAGTGTAGTAGTTTATAGTAACAAATGGGTGGTAGTTGGCGGCGGCCGCATCGACAAATGAGCCGCTAACGACAGCCGCTAACCGCAGTTACAAGTGCGGGGAAAGGTTACATTACGCGTCTTCGCCGGTATCGTTACAAGGATTAGATACTTTTTGGCAGTAAAAAGTGACCTATGTCATTCTCTATCTTCCCAACTACCTCTCCACATGATAAATAAATTTTAAACTACTTTTCCGTTCATAATATTAATATGGAAAGTTCATCAGCATCGGTCTATTAATATTTCCAATGAGCGTAGTTCTTCTCAAATTATACAATTAAATCGAATCGAACAGGAGGAACGGGTTTAGATCCACCGCTCAGGGCCAGTGTGGTTTGATTGGTGTTTACGACTGCCTGTGTAGTCTGGACCAGGCCGCCTTACGTATCTTCCGAAGAGCGAAAAAACTCGAGGTAATAAATTTCTGGTCACCCATTTCTTTCGACTTTTTCAATAAAAGTGTCATACCTCAATCAATTCACATGAATTTATAAATGAAAACAAAAAAAAAACATCAACATCGATGCAGTATTATACAAAAGATGGTATATTTTTTTAACTAAAATAAAAAATAAATGGATATTTATAGTTTA